ACCATTTTCCATGTGGCAGCCAGGTGAGTCTCTCCAAAGCACAAGCTGACCAGGCAGGTCTTCTGCTTCACAGCCTTTGATGGCCCTGGCGGGAAGGAGAGCAGCACACATTATACTTCCTGTGTTCTTGTCTCTCTCACTACTCAAGGGCCAATTCCATACCATGAACCCACACACATGCTTTGCCCACCTCTTTCCCCTTCTCTAGCCTGCTGCATTAGCTCTACTAAACGTTCCCTGGTCTCTCCCTCTCTCCCTGCCCACCCCCTCTTTGTGCTGGATGTGGAGCTTGAACTCAGAGCCTGGGCACTGTCCCTGGGCTTTTGTGTTCAAGGCTAGCGCTCTACCATTTTGAACCACAGGACCATTTCTGGCTTTTTGGCAGTTAATTGGAAATAAGAATCTCATGGACTTTCCTGTCTGGGATGGCTTTAAACCTCAATCTCAGATCTCAGCCTCCAGAGTAGCTAGGATTATAGGTGTGAGCCACGATGCTGTTGGCCTCAGCCTTGCCTGTCTACTGTTCTGGACCTAAGCCAGAACTCATCTGTATCCATGTCTTGGCCCCATTTTGTAGGGGTGACTATGTGTCACCTTTTCCCTAGTGCATGGTTGTGGCCTTTGGGCTGCAGGAGGGTGGGGAGGCAGATGATGGGAAGCTTGGGAAGCTGAGGTCCAGTTCTGCCACTAGCTTGCTAGGTGACCTTGATCAGAGTCTTAAATAAGACATAGCCCACTTACCTAATGTGACTGTAGCAGGGATTAAATGATGGCTCTATCATCATATTCACTCATTTCTTCCCCCCCACTCTGTGTTTTGGTACTAAGACTTGAACTCAGGACCTAGGCATTTTCTATTACCTTTTTCACTTAAGGCTAGCACTTTACCACTTGAGCCACAGTTCCACTTTCAGATTTTTTGCTGGTTAATTGGAGCTGAGAGTCTCATGGACATTCCTGCCCAGGCTGGCTTCAAACAGTGACCCTCACATCTCAGCCTCCTGAGTAGCTAGGATTACAGGTGTGAGCCACTGGTACTCTACCAGCTCCCTTTTTATAGTGAAATGAAAGCCCTCCAGTGGCTGCCCACAGGGAGCCTTCGAGATAGCATGCCCAGTGCCCAGGAAGGCCTGCAGCTGCTTTCTTTTTTTTTTTTTATTTTTTATTTTTATTTTTATTTTTTTTTTTATTGTAAAGCTACTATACAGAGGGTTACAGTTACATGAGTGAGGTTATGAGTACACTTCCTCTTGAACATTGTTACCCCCTCCATTGTTTTCCCCCTACCATCCCCTCCCTCCCTCCCTTCCCGAGGTTCTTTTTTTTTTTTTTTTTTTGATTGTGATTAAATGATTACATAATTTCAAAGTCACAAGTTCATTCTTGCAGCTGCTTTCTATGGATCCCTGGGCACCATCTACCCTGCAGTGGCTCTTTAGGTAACCACCAAAGGAGCAGAATCCTGGGGCTGGGAGCAGAAGGGCTTGGGGACAAAAGGGTATTGGAAAGAGAGGATGGGGAAAGGAGAGGTGGATGCCAGGGAGGGAGCTCTGGGCAGGAGTACTGAGCAACTGGCTCTTTTTTCAGGCTCCAGACAACCTTCAGTAAGTACCTTCTCACAGGTACCCTGGGAAGTCAGATCTGGTTTTAGTGATGATGTGGGGGTGGACAGATGGGGAGAACAGACATCCACCCACCCCATCTCCACTGCCACCAACTTCCCCAGGGCCATGTGCATAGGGCCAGCTGTGGACAGGGGTGACAGGAAAGTCTCCAGGGGTTATTACAACTCTTAGTAGGAGTATTTTAAAAAAGAAATGAAAACCCTCTCTGTCGGAAGTGGGACAGGATGGGGCTAGGGTACAGGGTAGGGAAGGGCTGGTAGGCTGGGGAGGTCAGTTGGTAGGCGCTTCTTTTCTGTCAGCAGTAGGATGGGGCATGTGCTAGGTGAGAGAGGCCTGTGCTGCAGGTGCTCTGAGATGGGAATGGAGGATGGGCCTTGCTGAGAACTGAGCTACTCAGGCCTGAGCAAGACAGAGTCTATGGCTAGGTATATAGAACAATGGTATGGTATTTGCCTAGTGTGTGCAAAAGCACAGCAAAGAAAGAAAGGAAGGGAAGGAGGAAGGAAGGGAGGAAGGGAAGATGGAAAGGCTAAAACCACCATGGGGACTGGCTGGGACTGGGTGATTGTGGGGTGGGACCATCGCTGTTCTGGCTCACTAGGGAGATGACACAGAGATTCTGCTGCTGGTTTGGAACCCAGAAGGAAGATCTAAATCATCAGAGGAAGGGGCCTGGCAGTGAGAGCCAACACCTGCATGTTGGGGGTGTGGCAGGCCACATGGCCCCAGGAGAGTGTGCTCTGACAGTGTTCCTCACCTGCTCGTGAGTTAGTAGGAACTGCAGAGCTGGAGGCTACACAACCCCTTTGTGTGGACTTGGCCCAGGTCTTTTGGATAGCAACAGGACACTGAGCCTTGATGTCCTGCATGTGTGAGCCTCCCCAGCAGGGTGCAGCCCATCTTCCCTCCCCAGGATGGACAGCCATGCTGGCCACTAGACAGGAGCCCAAGGAGCTGGCTGGGCCCTCTCTTTAGAACAACTTGACTGCCCCCTAGTGGATTTCTGAAGAGTCACTTGGACTCACGGAAGCACTTCAAAGAGGGACCAGACCACTGTCCAATCCTGTCTCCCTTGATGGGAAGACCAGAGCATCCATTTGTTTGTTCATCCATTCATTTGTTTGTTCATTCAGCTCTAGCACCCACCCCTCCTGGACTTTGGACAACAAGAGTGAACTCCCCACTGCATGTAAGGCCAGTATAGCAACTGCTGGTTCATTCAGGGGGTGGCAGGGAAGGGATTTCAGGAGGAGGTGGCTTTTTAGGTGGAATTGAGTGTGTTGGAGAGGGATGAGGCCATCAAGGTAGAGAAGACAGCTGAAGTACAGCCATGGCTCTCTAAGGGGTCCGAGGCAGAGTAAGGAACGTGCCACAACCGAAAAGTCAGTGCCTGGGGAACAGTAATGTGCAGGGCTTCCATGCCAGCTAGAGCCTTCAGGCTCAGTTAAAGAGTAACTCCCAAGTGGCTCCTACCTGAAGAACCAGGAACAAAATGATTCCTGTGGTGGCCTGTGAGCCCCATCTAACATGAGACCCTATCTCCAAGAGATTGGCCTGTCCCTTGGAGGCTAGTAAGGAGGACAGAGTGGGACCCTTTGCACCAGCTGGCATTCATTGCTCGGAAAAGACATAACTAGGGCTCCATCTCTGGGGTCCTACCAGGGCATGCATGTAATAGCCCATATAGGGGCTGGGGTGGCTTCACTCCAGAGTTGTCAGGCCCAGTACCTCCCAGCCTCACCCCTACTCTGCAGAAGAGAAAGCTGTATGTCCCTAAGGCTGCTTCCCAGGGAGCCTTTCCGGTATCATTGCTATTTCTCTGGGCTCTTGTAGCTCAGTGTCACTACTTCAGATCAAGAAGCAGATGCACTGGCAGGGACAAGGCATACCTTCCAGCCTCCAGTCCATGTGTGAAGGTGAGCAGTAACTGCTGGCAGGATTGAGAGAGCGACCACTATGTTCCTGGCATGTGCCTAGCCCACCACTAGCACAGAGAAGAGGAAAAGGATGGAGGCAGAAGCCTGTCAGGCAGGGGTGTTGCAGGCTTCTGTGGATGCTGCCTGTCTCCTTCGCCCTAGCTAATGGCAAAGGTTATAGAAGGGGATCCTCAGATAGCGGGAAAGGTGCAAATTGGAAAATTGTACAGGGAAGCTAGGCGTGGGACATCTCCCAAAGCAAGATCAACATTGTCCCCTGTCCTTTACATACCTCCCATGTCTGTCACTCTCTCTGTGTCCCTGGCTCTGTGTCCTTGGCTTTGTCTCTCTATTGCTGTCTCTGTCTCTCTGTCTCTGTCTGTCTGTCTGTCTGTCTGTCTGTCTGTCTGTCTGTCTGTCTGTCTGTCTGTCTCTCTCTCTCTCTCTCACACACACACACACACACACACACACACACACACACACACAAGTATCTCAAAGTCTGGCCATGGCAGCCCTCAAGCAGAACATTTTCCTAATGACCCCCAGTTCCAAGTTGGGTATCAGCTCCCTAGGGGTCTTTTGAAGAAAGAGTTTGTTTAGGGCTTAACCTGCCCTCCTGCCCCTCCCCTCACCTCAGTACTCTTTCCCCTTAGCTGGGAAATTAATTTCATGTGTGCCTGAAATCAGTCCACAGCACAGCGATTACTCAAGAGTTGGGCAGCAGTTTCTGATAAAGAAGCTAGTTTCACGAATTGGTCATGGGTTTTGTTTAGTTTTCTTCTAGAAGATAGAAGTCCCCATTTTCCTGAGAGTCAAGGAATGTTCAGTTCCTACCTCCTTCATCCCACCGTGGAGATCCTAGGGCCCAAGGCTGGACTCCAAGCCCAGTGCTCAACACACATGCAGCAGGGCTGGCTGAAGGAAAGGAGTCAGAACGCGCTGGCTTTGTATCAGAAGCTTCTGGAATCAATCCCCTTGGTGTCCTTAGAGATGCCCCGTGGCATCCAGAGGATGCTGTGATGCCAGCATGTGCCACAGGTGTACCGGAGTCCTCACTTGCCTGACTGATCCATGCCCCCGGCCTGCTGTTGCCAGACCAGCTGTGCCACTCAAGGGCATGATGACTTCAGCCCCTCCACTGTGTAGTGGGGACAGAGACCCTCCACATGAGCACTCATGAGCTCATACTAATGAGTATTCTGAGTCAAATGTTTCTAGAATGAAGTGCTGTAAGAATATGAGAGATTATTTTTATTCTTACTGTTTTTGTATCGAGACAAAATTACCACTAGGGTCCATACAGGAATGTACATGCCTGGGAATCGCTGCTGGGCATTTACTAATGAGCATTCAGTGGGTCACCAAGGCTGACAGGGGAAAGCCTTCTACTGGAAGTGGAAAAGGGTGGGGTTAGTTCTAGAGTCCTGGTTGCCTTGGTCACCAGCCTGCTGCTCCTCTCCTCAGGGCCTGGCCCTCTCCTCCCCTTGGCAACCTGGCCCAGCTGAGGCCTGGCGGGCTTTGGCAAAAGCCACCCTGATTTCTTGGTTTATGAGGTCCTGCCAGTGGTCTCTGAGGATAAAAGAAGAAACAAGAATTACAAATGCTAGTGGCTCATACCTGTAATCCTAGTTTCCCAGGAGGCTGAGATCTGAGGATCTTGGTTGGAAGCCAGCTTGGGCAGGAAAGTCTCTTATCTCCAATTAACCACACACACAAACTCACACAAAAAGAAAGCAAGGAAGGAAAGAAGGAAGGAAGGAAGGAAGGAAGGAAGGAAGGAAGGAAGGAAGGAAGGAAGGAAGGAAGGAAAAAGCCAGAAGTGGAGCTATGGCTCAAGTGGCAGAGTGCTAACCTTAAGCACAAAGCTCAGGCCCCGAGTTTAAGTCCCAGGATGGCGGGGGCAGGGAGAATCACAGCCACCTAGAGCAAAGGTCTGGGCCTATAGTGCCCCCTTCAGAGGCCCTGCATGAGTTTCTGTATGTTATGTGTATGTGTGCTTTCCTGTATGTTGTGTACACATCTGTGAACTTGTGTATGTTTGTATATGTGCATTGTTCATCTGAACATGTATGCATATGTGAATGTATTTGTGTGCTTCATGTTTGCACAAGTTTATGTATATGTGTGGCTTTTATGCATATTTATGCATACATGGTGTGCACATGCTAAAGTGTATGCTGAGCGCACATGTATATTCGTGTTCTGTACATGTGCATGTATGTGTATTGCATGCATATATGCATATACTTGTCCTTATGTACATTCATGTGCATAGTATTTATGTGCATGTTGTCTGCATAAGTATACATTTCTGTGTATATACATGTGTACTGCATGTGTGCATGAATGCAATCTTATGTCTATGTGCATGCATGCATATATGCATATATGTACACCCACGGGCACATGTTTGTGTGCATATGTGCCGTAAGTGTATACATGTGTTATACTGTATGCATGTGCACATGATGCCGTGTATATGTGCATGCATGCAGGTGTTTATATGGATATGTGCTTTGTGTATACATATGTGCATGCAGGTTTTAAGTAGAGTCTCCTCTGCCTGCCTGGGGGAGGGGGGCAGGCTGGAGGGCTTCCCAACTGAGTGATGCTCTCTGCAACTAATCTCCACTCCCCTCCTTCCCTGAGCCAGAAGATGAAAACATCTCTGGCACTTTCTAAAGTTTCTGTTTAGGAGTGGAAAAGTCATCAGCTGAGAGAGCTTGGAATGATAAATGGCTGCCAGACTCCCAGGTTCCCAGTCCCAGGGCAGGGTGGCCAGGCCTGGGGGAGGCAGGGAGCTGCACTTGTAGGTCCTGCCTGGACAGAGCAGGAGGAGGGCTGGTGTCCAGAGCTCACATCGCCTAGGCATGGGCACCAATGGGTGGATGTGCTTGGTGCATCCATCATTCAGGAGCTTACAGGGCTGGGAAAGATCTGTACACATGTCAGTAAGAAGCAGCAGGTGGCAACTGATGTGATGGAGACTAGCATGCTGAGAATGGGCTGGAGGGAGATGGCAAGGCTCCAGAGTGTATGACCAGAGCCCCCTCTGCTGAGGCAGCATTGGAGTGGAGACCCCCACAACAGGAAGGGGAGGGCAGCTCTGGAAGAGTGACAAGTAGCCAATCAGAAGTCCTACTGAAGGGAAAACTCTGGGCAGGGAGACAAGCCTGGGCTCTGGCTGGAGCTCTGCAGTGGTCATGCCACAGGACCCGGAAGGGCTTAGCTCAGCCCATCCTTCATGCTGGAACAAGCCTGTTGACCGCTGTGGTTCTGGAGACCTCCTTTCGGCCTTCTGTAGACCTCTCACAGATTGAGGCAGGGGAAGGGAGTGAGCAACAGCACATTGGGGTAAAAATATTAGTTCTCCCTTGAGGCCCTCAATGAAGGGGTTCTAAAAGATAATGGTAGAAGGCACATTTCTAGGCAAGCAAGCTCTTGAAATTCTACTCCATGACCTTTAAAAGGTGAGTGCCTTAGCTAGTCACCAGTGACTCATGTCTGTTATCTTAGCTACTCAAGATGCTGAGATCTGGAGGGTCATAGTTCAAAGCTGGCAGAAAAGTCTGAGAGACTCCATTTGCAGTGAATCAGCAAAAAGCTGATCTGGAGGCATGATGTAAATGGCTAAATACCAGCTGAGCAAGCAAACCAAGTGAACACAAAGCCCCAAGTTCAAATTCTGGAACTATCAAGGAAAAAAAGGAAGACCTTAACATCTAAAATTTCCACAGGAAATTTAGAGGTGACAAAGATGCAGTAACAATATGATACTCAGGACAGTGAGCTGAGCTCAAGTGAGAAAGTTAGAGGTCATGTCGAGGCCAACAGGGGCTGTGTTGAGGTCCAGTCTTGTCACCATCAGCAGAAAGGTAGTGGCTGCTAGACACTGAAGGATTCTGTATTCCACACTAGGCAAGTAATACTGTTTATAAAACTGACACATAGCAAACCAAACACCAAAGAGTCTGAGCATCGCCCTCACTCACCCAGGTGTGATGTGCAGAGGTGTGGGCAGAGGTCTGTGGAAGCCCACCTTCCCCACCAGCCAGTAGGTCTCCTCCACACCCTTCCCCTGCAACCAACAGGAAGGTAGGTGTTGAAAGGTTTCTCCCCACTGAAAACCTCCCCACCTAGAAATGGGAATAGAGCTGGGTGCCATGGCTCATGCCTGTAATCCTAGATACTCAAGAGACTAAAATCTGAGGATTGAGGTTCAAAGTACATCTAGGCAGAAAAGTCTATGTACATCTCCAATTAACCAGCTAAAAGCCAGAAGTGGAGCTGTGGCTTAAGTGCTAGAGCACCAGTCTTGAGCAAAAAGATCAAATGGGAGTGCAAGGCCCTAAGTTCAAGCTCCAGTAATGGCATCCAAAAAAAAGAGGGGGTGCCCAAAAACTGGACTCTGGGAACCAGGAAATTCTCTCACCTTCAGCTCGGTCTGACCCCTGACATCAATTTTGTAGCCTTCGTCGAGGCTGAGCAGGGCTTGGACAGTGCTTCGGCTGATGTGAATTCTGTATGCTGTGAAGGGAGAAATAAGTTACCACCTGCCCACAGCATTCAATAAAATCAGTGACACAAAACCAGTCACACACACAATACTGACATGCGCAATAACCTCCCTCTGCTATCTTGTTCTTCTTTCAATAGCTGGTCACTGTAAGAGGTCCCAAAGAAAACCAAATTGTATAGAATAAGTGTTAAGTAGAAGTCAAAGGAAGCCAGAATCCTTACACTAATTTTTGCTTGGAGGGAACTCTATTAAGGCCACACCAGAGAAAACAAGCCATTTCTTTTTTTTTTTTTTTAAGAGCAGGACTCCCTGGGGGCGGGGGGAGGATCACCCAGTCTGTTTGTTCAGTGTGTGCACTGAACAACTTAGCCAGAAACAGATCTTGAGGCTGCTCTAAGCAAGACTTTAGAATAGCCCCTGCTCCTACAAGGCTGTAAAGTGTTGAGGTGCTAACATTGCAGTGTTTAGATGTCCTGCATCATGGGATACAATCAAGAGAAAGCCCAATGTGGAATGGGTCTCTGTTACACAATGGGATCTACAGGAAGAGCACCGTGCTCAACACTAGACAAGCCATTGCAGAGCCTGGGCCAGGATCCATTTTCCCACCTCTTGAGCCAGTCATTATTTTCTCTGCTAATTCCTCGAATCACAGAAGTCCTGGGGGAAGCTCAAAGGACATACAGCATCTCTCTTAGATGGCTGCCTAAGACACGCTGCCACCAGGTGGTGAGGTGGTGACTAGGCACTGTTTCAAATAGCCCGGCTATGAGTCCTTCCTGGGCAGGAGAGAAGAAAGAGATACTCACGTAGCCCTGTGGACTCCATCCTGGAGGCAGTGTTGACAGTGTCACCGAAGAGGCAATACCGAGGCATGGTGAGACCCACAACGCCCGCCACACAGGGCCCTGAAACCACAAATGTGCCTGGTGAGCTCTAGCAGGTCCTGGGCCAGACAGAGGTCCTGCTACCAGCTCTTCCTTCCCCCCTCTCCCCCCCTGCTATTCCTCTCTGCACGTCCTGGCTGCAGCCAGGGTGAGGATAAGGCTGAAGTTTCCAACAGCACCAAGAGAGGAGTCAACGCGCATGCTCAGCTCTGGACTGGGGTGGGAAAGGAGGACTCAGACAAATGAAAGCCTGCTCCTGCTCTTGAGTAGGCAATCAGCCCATAGGAAAGGCATGTTTCTTTCAATCAATGCTGGGATAATGGAGAGCCTGTGTCAGCTCAGGAGAAGACTCCAAACCCAGAAAGGGGGACTTGCAGGAGGAGGCAATGGCCTGAGCTGTCTGGAAGGATTAGCGAATGAGTAGGCAAGGAACAGCAGGTGCAAAGGTGTGGAAGCCTTTGGGAAATGCAGCTAAGTAGAGATGGAGAGGGAGGAGAGGAAGAGTGGTAGGAGGAGAGTTAGAGAGGTTAGTGAGGGTCTACAAGGTACAGGCATTGTGGACATGATCCTATAGGAGCCACAGAGCAGGGCGAGTGGGGGGGGGATGGGAAGGGTACATTGAGACTCTAGTCTTTCCCACAGCCACATTGGACTCTTTGGATGACACTGGAAACTTGTGCTGTCTCCTCTGTCAGACTATCTGCTCCTCTATGTGGAATTATATGGAGAAGAAAATCCTCCCCCACCACGGAAAAAAAAAAAACAAAGATTTGAATGTAAGCATCTTGGAAATATGGGTTTATAACATATTACACCCTTAAGATAAGAGAAAAGCCAAGCACCAATGGCTCACACTTGTAATCCTAGCTACTCAAGACGCTGAGATTTGGGGCTCACAGTTCGAAGCCAGCCTGGGCAGGAAAGTCCATGAAACTCATATCTCCAACTAACCACCCAAAGGCCAGAAGTGGAACTGTGGCTCAAGCAGCAGAGTGCTTATCCATGAGCAAATAAGCTCAGAGACAGCACCCAGGCCCCTGAGTTCAAGCCCCAGGACTAGTATATGCACATGTGCATGCATGCACGCACGTGTGTGCGCGCACGCACACATACATACACACACAGAAATAATAGAAAGGAAGTGAAACAAAGGTTTCGTGGCCTAGGAAAACTAGTTTGTGCCTGGGCATCATGATGAGGCCCCAGCCATACCTGAGTGCAGACCAGCCCTGATGAGAATGGGCATGTCCGGCACATGCCTCATCCGGAAGTCACCTGCAGAGCTGAGGATGTCCAGGGCCATGTTGGCGACCTCACCTGCGTGCCGCCTCCCGTTGCGCCAAGGCAGCCCCGATGCTACCATGTAGGCATCGCCAATGGTCTCCACCTGGAATCCCCAGGGCCACACACTTCACATGGGAGCATACACTCCTACCTGCCCACACCTACCTCCAGCCACACCTCCCAGCAATCCCAGCCCCATCCCATGGGTCTCTAGCATATGGTGCCGCCAGCAGGTACTTCTGCACTGATTGGAGCTGCACTTTTCAGTCAGGTGGCCTCTGTCTGATCATAGGTGACCAGGCATTTTGTGTCCCCAACCCAGGCCACAAGCTCCCAGAGAGCCATCTGCAAGAGATCACAGCTGCACATCAGGGCCTAGTCTGAAGAGCACACATATAGACCAGATGCCTCACCCCCAGCCATGTTTCAAACCCTGATGATTTCCAATAGAGAAGAAAGTAGGCTCTTGAGCAGCCAGAGCTCTGCCTGGCAGAGCAGCTCACCTGGGCAGCCCCAGCTTCCCTTCACCTCCTGTGGGATGCATGGAGAGGAAGATGGAGAAGAGCCAGGGAGAAGCTGGGGGACACAGAAGCCACTGTGGCCATAAGCCCTCAGAATCTCCTAATTTGAAGAGACTCTAACCCACACCTTATTCTGGCCAGGGCTTTGTGGGGTGGGTGCTGCTCTATAAGCTTCCAGGCCAGCCTCAAGGGCCCCAGGATATACTTTCTACTGTCCTCATTGTAGAGCAGATAATAAGCTATCTAATAGAGGGGCATTAAAAAGAGTCAAATCATCCAGCTAAGCTAATCTGTGGGGACACTGAGGGCCTAAGAAGCCACTGGTACTTCAGAGGCAAGTGGAAGGAACTCCTCTGTTGGTGTCTGCATGGTCGACTGCACTTACCCTAATTTTGTTTTGGGGGGGAGGGGTGCCAATCCTAGGGCCTGAACTCAGGGCCTGGATGTTGTACCTGAACTTTTTTACTCAAGGCTGGTGCTCTACCACTTAAGCCACAGCTCCACAAATGGCTTTTAGGTGGTTAATGGGAGATAAGAGTCTCATAGATTCCCTTGCTCAGGCTGGCTTCAAGCCACAGTCCTTAGATCTCAGCCTCCTGAAGAGCTAGGATAACAGGCATGAGCCACGAGCCCAGCAGCTCCTTTCTTGATCAGCCAAGCCAAATTACACCATGGGCCCTTCTATACATGACTTACAAGAGCTTCGGGCACAGAGAGGCAGCTTGCCCAGGGGCAGATGGCACCATAACTGTCTCAGGCCTCAGCCTCAGGCCGAGAAGCTGCTTGTGAACCCTGAGCTCTGCCTCTAGAAGTGCTCACTCAGCAATGAGGCCTTCCAGGAGGAATCCCAGATCTCGGCAGAACCAGGAAATGTAGCCTGGCTGCCTCCCAACCCAGGCTGGATTAAAGAGCAGTAACCAGACCCTGTGGGGGATGGAGGGGAAACCGAGGTGGATGGTGTGAGTGGTGAGAGACACATCACACATCATAGGGATGAGGCCTCTCGTGCCCACATCTGGAGGGGGGCGCAGGCCTTGTTCAATTTCATTTCCCTCTGCCAGAGAGATGCAGGCCTCTTGGCCAGAGTACAGAGCAGAGTGGAGTGTGTGATTCAGAGCTGGGGGACACATGTGTGAGAAAAGATTAGCAGAGGAGAAAGGGATGGGCCAGGGGTGACTCAGGGTATATCAAAGCCATGGAGATCAGTGAGGTGGTGAAGAATCTCTGCCTGGGCCTCGGGGGGAGAGACAGGAACAGCCATGAAGACTCAGGGTGGGGGAAGAAGAGTGGGAAGACAGCCAGTCTGTGAGATGCTTCTTGGAACCTGGACCCAAATGGAGTCTTCAGCAGAGAATAGGAGGGGGGCTGCAGCCTTGAGTATCAGTGGCTTAGGTCTCTGCGGGCCAGTGTGGCTGCTGTCATAGAGAGAGAACTTATAGAATCCTCTAGACGCTGTGATTTCCTGTTCTGGCTGTGCTGTCTCCCAGCTGTGTGACCTCATGTGGTCCACTTCCCTCTCTGGACCTTGGGGTCTTCCTCAGTCAGTCAACATCCATTCCCTGAGGACCCACTATGTGTTGGGCACTGTCAAGGGCTAGCACAGATTGGCTCAGGATAGAACTGCAAAGCGCTGACCAAGCGTGTTAGGAAAGCATCACACAGAACACCTCGCCAGGTCTGGGATCCAAGAGGTCAGACCTGAGCCCCAAGAGATGGTGGGGAGCCAGGAGAGGCCGATGGACCAGAGGGAGGGTGGTGTTCCAGGAGAAGGGAACAGTATGTGCAAAGTGGGGGGAAAATCTAGAGGTCTTCAGTGGCTAGAAAGGTGGGCCACTACGAGCCCAGGGTTCATACTGAGTGTGTGTGTCACATGGATGCTGAACTTTCCTGATGAAAAGCTTTGAGATCCATCACCCAAGTTCAGATCTCCACTTCAAAATATGTCACCATAAGTCACTTCACCTTCTTGCCTCACGTTTCCCATCTGTAGGAGAGAGATGCTGGTTCCCAGTTCATGAGTTCATGCCGTGCTGATTAAAATGGGCCCATATGCATAAAGCACTTAATACCAGCATCTGGTACACAGACAGCACCCAGCAAGTAATGGAGAGGAGAGGGCTGGAAATGCCCCTTCTCTTCAACACCAAAGAGAGGCACCTCCCACCACCTGTGTGTTCCTCACTGGCAGGGGCTCAGCCTTCCCTGAGAGTCCCTGTATGGTGGCTGTCATCAACTCTTCTCTACTGGACTGAAAACTCCTTCAGGGTGGGGACCTGAGCTGAATCATGGGCCAGACACAGAGGGCTTGACCATAAGAGTGTTAAAGAGACAGAAAGATGGACAATGAACAAGTGAATACTGTGGTCAAGAAGCACACACACACACAACATGACCACACTGTTCATCCCTCTTTGCATCCACAAGCCAGCAAGGACAGCTTCTTTCCTCACTTTGTGGACTTTGATGGGTCTTTTGCTCTGACCTATAGAGTATGTCAGCTATAGCAGTGTGCTCAATCCAAAGTTAGAACCCAAGAGGGCATTGTGTCACTGGCCTCTCCCTCTTGGGGTGTAAACACCCCAAGACTAGCTAGGAGATGAGAGACTGTGTGGGCCAGAAACTAAGTTGTTCTAGCCAAGGCTCCCGAGATATGAAGAACCCAGCTCAGGTCACAGAGCTGCCCACCTCAAATACAATTGCCCACCACAAACATGGCTGCTCACAGATATGAGTGAGCCAAGGAGAAACTTCCACCTGACTCTTAGGGTTATAAAAGATGCTTAGCATTTCATGCCACTGGACTTTGGGCTTATTTGTTACATAGCAATACCTAACTGATACAAAATGGGTGAACGGAAATAAATTTGTTACTTGCAATAATAAAGAGAAAGACCCAAGGCCCCTCACCTGCTATCCTCACCTTATACACATCATGGCTGCCCAGGATGGCGTCAAACAACGTGTAGAGATCATTGAGTAAACCCACCACCTCGAGGGGCTCACTCAGGGCTGAGATCGTGGTGAACCCCACAATGTCGCTGAAGTATATGGTAACCTGGTCAAAGTACTCCGGCTCTACAGCGGCCCCCATCTTCAGAGCTTCAGCCACAGGCCTGAAGGGATGGAAGAGACAAGTAGGGAGATCTTTTATTACAGTTTGGAGGTCAGGACGGGAGGTGTGGGAGGAAGTCCTGAGTGGAGCACAGGGAGATCTGGGTCAGATCTGCTGTGGGAGCTAACATTCTCCTTGTCAGGAGACATGTGACATGGAAGTGCTGTGCCCCTTCCTTGTTCCCAAGGGAGATCAGAAACTCAACACTGGTGTGCTCAGGACAGTACTTTGCACATGACACAGGGCCATACGCTGGACAGGGCTGGGTGCTATGGCTCATGCCTGGAATCCTAGCTACTTTGGAAGCAGCAATCAGGGGATCAAGATTTGAGGACAGCTCAAGCATAGAAGTTCTTGACACTTCATCTCAACCAATGACTGAACCAGGCGCCGGTTCCTCACATCTGTAATCCTAGCTACTCAGGAGGCTGTGGATCACGGTTCAAAGCCGGCCTGGGCGGGAAGATCCATGAGACTCTTATCTCCAATTAACTACCAGAAAACCAGAAGTGGTGCTGTGGCTCAAGTGGTAGAGCGCTAGCTTTGAGCTGAAGAGCTGAGGGACAGTGCCTGAGCCCAGCTTTGAGCCCAGAGTTCAAGCCACATGACCAACCAAAACACACACACACACACACACACACACACACACCAAAAAAACTCAACCAATGCCTGGATGTGGTCATGTGTACCTGTTATCCCAGCTTCAAGGAAAGCACAATGTCTGGGTGCTGTGGTACATGGCTGTCATCCCCAGAGACGTGGGGAATCACAAGTAGGAGGATCAAAGCCCAGGCTGGCCCAAGCTTAAACCAAGATTCAACCTCAAAAATAACCAAGGCAAGCCAGATGCCAGTGGCTCGTGCCTGTAATCCTAGCTACTCAGGAAACTGAGATCTGAGAATCATGTTTTGAAGCCATCCCAGACAGACAAATTCAAGACTTTTATCTCCAATTAACTAGCAAAAAATGGATCCGTGGCTCCAGTGGTAGAGCTCCAGCCTTAAATAAAAGAGGTTCTGGCATAAGAAGGAAGGAGGGAAGGAAGGAAGGAAGAAAGGGAGGGAGGGAAGGAGGGAAGAAGGGAGAGAAGGGGAGGGGAAAAAGGAAGGGAAGGGAAAGAAAGAAAGAAGAGAGAAAGCAAAGGCAAAGGGGACTTGGAAGCATGCCTTATATGGTAGAGTACCTGCCTAGCAAGTGTGAGGACCTGAACGAATTCCTCACCACCAAAAAGAAAGAGAGGAAAAGAGAGGGTATTGGGTAAATGAACAGCAGTGATTGGATGGAGTCCAGATTCTCTGCTGAGTTCCAGGCCCCTGCTGGAGACCCCTGGCAGCCCCAGGCCACTCACGGTGGGAGCATCTGTGATAGCAGCCTCTCCGTCTTCCGCCTCTCCAGCTCCAGCTCCTCTGTCCTCTCCTGGACCAGGTCCTCCAGGTTCTGGGAGTACTTCTCCAGCATCCTCAGCATGGAGTCAGCAACGTTGCTCTTTTTACCTTGGTTGATACTTTTGAACTGGGGATGGAAAAAAAGAATCCCAATTCATCCATGAAGGTCAGCTAGGAATTCTGGGGCCATAGGAACTCAGCAGAGTTCCTGCCTAGAGGAGATGGATGGCAGTGGAAGATATGTAAGTAAGGAAAGATGCAGAGGGCTGGAAGGGAAACAGGGTTAATTCAGTGTGTGAGGCAGGCAGGAAGAGGAGCCTTTGCAAAAGAGCCTTAGTCCAGCAAACCAGAGCATTACCATTAACAAATAATCTCATTGCAAAGGGCTTCGCAACAACTTACACAGGCACTCCATGTTCTTCACCAAGGTAGGTAGATAGATAGACAGACAGATATACACACAGGCAGACAGACAGATGATGGGTGGGTGAATATGAGAAGTAGATGATCAGTAGATGGACAAATAGAAAGTTTATATGTAATATAGTATATTAATATGTTTATATCTATACTATATATTTTATTTTTTATTTTTATATATTTATATACTATATTTTATTTTAATTATTTTATATATACATAGAAAGTAAATATATAATATTTACATATTGTGTATAATATATTGCTATTTTGACCTCCCTAAATAGATAAGTCTGTTTAAATCAAAAGAGACAATGCTGGACACGGTGGCTCATGCCTATAATCCTAGCTATTCTGAAGGCTAAGATCTGAGGATCACAGTTCAAAGCCAGCCAGGGCAGAAAAGTCCATGAAACTCTTCTCCCTAATGAACTAGTAAAAAACCTGAAAATGGAGCTGTGTTTCAAGTGGCAGAGCACTAGTCTTGAGCGGAAAAAGCTAAGGGAGAACACTCTGGCCTTGAGTTCTAGCTCCAGTAACACACACACACACACACACACACACACACACACACACACACACACACACACACACACACACACACACACACACACACACACACACACACACACACACACACACACACACACACACAGAAAAAAATTAAAGGAAAGATTGTTTTTTAAAGTTAATCCAAGAATGGGGTTTGCTTGAAATTGGTCACTGTTTTAGAGATAAACTTCCTAGCAACAAAACAAACAGGGAAGTACAGATTACACAATCTGCAGAGTGAATCAGGCACCAGAGCTTTAAGCTAACTGCTAAGGCCAATCAAAGACAAGTTCCAGCCTTCCTCTGAGGATTCTGTGGCTCATATGCTGCACTTTCAAGGACGACTTTGTCGGAAATGTGGCACCAAGCTTCCTAAGGAGACTTACTAGAACCTTCCCAAAGAACAGCCAGTAGAAGTAGATCAGTGATCAACAAAGTATGTGGGGGGGGGGCGGGGGGGAGGGGGTCTATTGTTAGCTAAATCCAGCAGCTGTAATGTATATGTATTTGTATGTATGATGTGAGTGTGCACATCCAAACTCCATCAACACCACTTCTTTCAAAAAAGTCTGCAAGGGACAGAGAGCCAGTGGCTCCAGAAGATCACAGCTCAAAACCAGCCCTAGGCAGAAAAATCAATGAGAATCATATTGCCAAAATAACTAGCAATGCCAAGTGCTGTGGCTCACACCCAAAATTCAAGCTGCTCAGAAGGATAAGATCCAGAGGATAACAGTTCAATGCCAATCCTGAGGAGAATCTCCAAAATAACCAGCAAAAAGTGGGCTAGAGGCATCGTTTAGGTGGTAGAGTAGCAGCTGTGAGCAAGCAAGCTGAGCAAGAACATGAGGATTTGAGTTCAAGCTCCAGGACTAGAACAAAAAGAGAAAAAAAAGTCTGCAAGGCATGACTGTATGTCTAAGGCCAAAGTATGTGTACCTCGTACTGGCCATCAAAATCAGAGACACAAGCTATAATAGTCAGCCAGGGTAGATAAGAGTGGTGCTTAAGATACCAGCAAGGACACTTCTGTGCCAAGAATCCATTTTATAATTGAAGAAACAAATTACTTGTAACTGCTTTACAACCTGAAGACGTTCACATATTAATTTTATCTTCAACCATGCTTAAAGTGATGTTATCATTTGGAATGTTTTTTCCATTGTTCCCCTTAGATTGCTTTGAAGTGCAATTATAAAATCTGCAAATATTTCTACCTTCCCCATAGTCACCTTTTTGTCAGATTGCTTTGGCTTGCACACCCAGGCCTTTAACTTCGAAGGTAGTTCTCTTTCTCCTATCCTTCTGCTCAGAGAACTACTTTGTTTTTGGTGGTGGTACTGGGGTTTGAACTCCAACCCTTCCACTTTGCTGGGCAGGCACTCTACCACTTGAACCATGCCCCAGACTCCTTTTTTCATTTGCCATTTTTGAGATAAAGTCTTTCTGGATTCCTGGTCCAGTCTGGACCTCACTAAACCTCACCTTGGCAAGCTGTCACTGTGGTGGTCGGGAAGTGAAAGGTAAAAAAGCAAGTTGAAGATGTAGACTGGTCTTAAGGGAGTTGGCATGCTCAGTCAGGCCCAGACCCCAGGACTCGTGTGGACTTAACTCGATCTACCTGCTGCAATCCCAAGACATAATGGAGGACTCCAGTGCTCCTCTCATCTGCCCCTCTCCCCTGACTTTGGAAGCAGTGCTGTTTCCATTGCCACTAACAGCCTTTTGGTTCAGGCACCAGGAGACCTGGTCAAGGGTGGAGCTCCCCATGCAAGCAGACAGACAGACCAACCAACGAGGGTTGGCCTCATTCACTTGCTTGGGAAAGTCCCTTCAACCTATCTGAGCCAAGGCAGGACATTCAGGACTGTTCTCCTCCAAGGCCCCAGGGTTGCTTTATTGGCTGTGCCCCCTGGCTGCATGGCATTTCCAGGCTCTGGGCACAGGGTGGTCAGGCATCTGGCCAGGCAAGGTCCATAGATAGGTTCCTCTGGGAATGCTGACCTGGCTGTAGATCTGGTCCAGGCTTGGTCTGTCATCTGGAGCCTCCTCCCAGCACTCCTTCATCAGCCGGATGCACTCAGGGGGTCCATGGTCAGGGGATACTAGTGGCCGGTAGAGAGGTGAGGAAGACACCACCTTCCGGATGATTTCTGCAACAAACCCCAAGGGCTCATGGGAGGGGCTTTGAGGGAGGTTAAGGGAGGCTTAAAGTGGTGTGGATCAGGCCCCGAGGATGTTCTAGGTCCCATGGCTGTCTGATGCACATACCTCCCTGCCTTCCCAGGTCTGCCCTACCACATAAGAGCCCTGGAATGGGTCTCAGACCAGAAGCTCCAAGTGCTGGGTTTGAATTCTGGCTCTGTCACCATCTTGCTTTGAGATAGTAGGGAAGATGGTGACCTCTCAGTCTCCCCATCTGTAAATGAGCTCAACATTTTGCCTTCATGAGAGAGGGGTGCTGGGAGGAGGGAATGATGCAAGGCAAGTTGTCCTCCATTGCTGGGGTTCCATTGCCAGCAACACCCACTGGTGAGCTTGAAGCCCTGATTCCCTGGCTTTTGCCACTATCCCTGCCACCTAGTCTGGGGCCACACTCTCAAGACTGCTCCTTCCCATCCCCGCGATGGTCACTCTCACACAATCCCACCATAGCTGTCCCCATCCATCCCTTCTCTATGTAAAGACCACCCAGCAAAGCCACCGCCAGGCCCCCAGGTGTTCTCATCTGACTCGATCACTAGCCATCATCAAAGACTCTCCACCCAACAATGGATAGAAATGAGGCCTGCCTCTGGAAGCTGTGGGGGATATGGGAGAGTACAAAGAGCCTCAAGTCAACTGGGAAGAAAGGCTGGGCACCAAGCACAGGCCCTGGAAGCAGAGGACCAGCATGGGGCTTCTAAGCTTCATTAGCATTGTGATGGTTTATTTTACCTCTCAATTTCTTCCTCTATAAAGTGCACAGCTAGTATCACCTGCCTATTGACTTGTGAGGCATAGCAGGTTCACCTACTCTCGTGGGAATGGGAGCCTTGGGGCCGCAGAGGAGAAGCATCTGGATTTCAGTCACTCTTTCATCCCTTCTTTGGCCTTCTTATTGGGATAGCAAAGGAGGCATCACCCCCATGTCAGTGGCTTATGCCTGTAATCCTAGCTACTGAGGAGGCTGAGATCTGAGGATCACAGTTTGAAGCCAACCTGGGTAGGAAAGTCAGTGAGACTCTTATCTCCAAAAAACTACCAAAAAAGTCAGAATTGGCTCTGTGGCTCAGGTGGTAGAGTGCTAGCCTTGAGCAAAAGAAGTTCAGGGACAGTGCCCAGACCCTGAGTTCAAACTCCTGGAACAGCACAAAAAAAAAAAAAAAAAAAATAGGGAAATTGAAAGTCTGTAGGAGTACTTCATGTCACCACCATCCAAGCAGAGCTGGTAAAATACAGCCATCAGGACTGGGCCTCGTTTTCAGCCAGCTTGCCCAGGGTGTCCAAGGCCTGCAGGCGTCAGATCCCCAGGCCATAGGCCCCAGGCTTAGGGAAGCTGCATGTACTCAAAATGAAGAGCATGCAGATGGACTCTCTAACATCGCCCACATGCCTACAGCTATCCCTATCCCCCAAACCAGCCAGATAGTTTGGGACAAATAAAGTACAAATCCATTTCAAAGTGTCCTTGAGATTTCTGTCATCCATGAACAGGAGAAGTTGAATAGTAGCATCTGAGACTCTGGACTTTTTGACATTAAAACGGATCCTGATGTGTGAGTATCCCCCTGCTATGGGGAGCCCAGGCCAGGGACTTGATCTACCTCTTTGTCCTTCATTGGAGCTGCTCATGCAGCCCTGTGGACCTGGTGGGCTCTAAGATGAAGTGAGCCAGGATGGTTTCAAGGAATTTTAGGTTAAGAACACCACGCTGGAAAGAGAGGACCTCAGTCCAGATCCTAGCCCCCTCCCTCCTGGGAACTCCCTGCCTCTCATGCAGTTAACTCATCTCTGAAGAGGTGGCTCCCATCTTCTGGGGCTGGGGAGGGAGGAGTATAACATATGAACATGCTTTAGAAGCTACAAAGGACCCTATGCACCCAGATCTTGAACTATCATCAGGGGATTCCCCGTTATTCCACTCTTAAAACTACCCAGAATGATGTTTGTAAACAATAAAGGGACTTTGCCAGGTTCTTTGTCTCAAGTGAAAAAGATGTGCACACAGTCACTCTACAAGGCAGGCATTGTGCTCCCTATTTTACAGATGAGGAAACTGAAGCTTAGAGCTAAAAGGGCTTTACTCAACATCTTTAGGCAAATCTGGCTGATGTCCCACAAAGTTTACTTATGGTTCTTTTCAGGCCCAGGTCGAATGGTCGTTACAGAGCTCCCCAGCTACTTGGAGACTCCAGCCAGGGACAGGACAAGCAGGGGGACAAGGACACTGTACCTTCCGCTGAGAGCCCTGAGGAGCTGTAGGGTGGGCCTCGAGTCAGTACCTCCTGCAGGATAATGCCCATGCTGAACACATCCCCTTTGAGGGTGCCTTGCCCGGGCCCCCCGGGCCCCCGCAGCAGCTCAGGAGCCGTCCACAGAAGCTCTGCAATCACAGGGCAAAGCCACGCTGCACCACACTCTGTACCTGAGGAGACCGAGGGGCATCTTCTCCCTTGGCTGAGGTTCTTCCTGAGCAGAAAAGCCATCCACTCAAGCTCACAGTACCATACTGAAGATCTGTTCCTCATCCCCTGTTTCACCAACACCAGTTTAAACAGAGGCTTCAGAACCAACTGGCAGCCCCTTGCACACCCCAAGCTGACCTTCTGGAGCTGGCTGGGGGTAGGGAGACTGCTGAGCCTCTAGGAGTGCTGCGTAACCGTGGTCAGTGACCTTGAGCACGAAACGTCCATCCACCACACAGTTCCGAGACTTGAGACGGCCGTGGGGGAAATGTCGATGATGCAGATACCGCATGCCCTGGGTGGACATAGAGGGGGACTGTTGGATCTGTGATATGTGAGAAAGAGCACAGGATTCCCACAGGCATCAAAGGCCTTTCTGCCTCACCTCCTCTTTTGCTGTTCATATTTCAATTAGAGAGTGGAAACGCTGAGCGTATCTCTCCTCCCTGTCCCATCCATCACCCCTCAGCTCCACGGGAGGCTCCTCACTTGGATCAAATCCAGCAACAGAGATGCCTTGAAGGTCCAGTCCAGCCGCAGGGCCTCATTCCTCAGCAAGTCCTCCAGGCTGCCCCGAGTACAGTGCTCTAGCACCAGAGCATTGACCCCAGGGGCCACAAAGAAGCCCAGGCAGGTGGCAACGTTCTCATGCCGCATCTCCCGCATCTGCTGGGGCAATGGACACTTTAGCAGCACCCAGGATCCCTTTCCAAGGTCAGTCCTACTAATTTACATTTAGACTAGCAATCATCACAGAAGAGCATCAGAAATAGGTAGATGGGTAGATAAGTGGTGTGTGGGTGGGAGGGTCTCCCCATCCATCCATCTGCCAACCACTCACCTACCCATTCATCCATCCACCTACTACCTATCTCCATACCACCCATCTATCCATCTTCTCACTCATCCCTCTGTTCATCAACCCACCAATCCACCACCCACCCATCCATCCATCCATCCATCCATCTACTTACCATTCACCCACCCACCACCCATCCATCTATCTTTCTACTCATCCATCTATTCATCGCCTATCCATCCACCCATCCAACCCTTTCATCTTTCCACTTACTCTTCCATCCATTCAACTATCCATCCATCCACCTACCACTCATCCATTTTCCATTCATCCCTGTTAATCTACCCATCAATATACCACCATCCATCCATCTATTCATGTATGCACTCATTCTCCTGTCCATGTAATGTCAGTTCATCCATCCAACCTTTCATTGACCCACCCACCATTTATTCATCTACGTGCTCACCTATCCCCCATTTGTATATCCACGTATCCATCAGACTGATGGAAGGGTTGGATGGGTGGATAGATAGGTGATGAATAGATGGATGAGTAGAAAATAGATGGATGGGTGGTGGGTGGATAAATGGTAGATAGATGGATGGATGGATGGACGGATGGATGGATGGGTGGTGGATTGGTGGGTTGATGAACAGAGGATGAGTGAGAAGATGGATAGATGGATGGTAGGGGGATAGGTGGTAGGTGGAAGGATGAATGGGTGAGTGGGTGTGGGCAGATGGATGGATGGTTGAGTGGGAAGATGGATGGTAGAATGAGTAAACCAAAGGTGGATAGTGGATGGGCTGCATCCACAAAATCAGGTTCTGTCCCATTTCACGAGCTAAGTAACACCACTGACCTAAAAATTTACATTCTGTTTATTTCCATACTTTACATTATTTATTTCCATACTTTACATTCTTTCCCCAGAGACTGATTGTAAAGAGAGGAAGAGGAGCGGGAGGGATCTGGCATTAGTAGAATACAGACTCTCCACTGGCTGATCAGCATGCCAGAAAGCTCAAACTCAAACAGGAACATTGGTGTTGTCCAAAGTAGGACAGAGCCTTCCTCATCTGGCACATCCTCCTCACAAAGAAGTCCAATGAAGTGGAGAGAGCTTCAAAACACCCTTCCACTTCCCTTTCAGACCATGAGCACATTAATACTTGTGCAGAGTTAAGAATGGCCTCAGGTCCTTTGACATTCCTGCCACCAAGAGGAGAACTCTTCCTTCTCCTTGAACATGAGGGTTTCTGGGACTGCTGTGACTAAATACAGTGGAAGTGGCCTTGTGTATTCAGACTTAGGAGACCAGCAGCTGCCTTTTCCTGTCTCTTGGAATGCTCTGTTGGAGCAATGAGCCATCAGGTAAGAAGTCTTTCTACCCAGAATCACCACAACAGAGATACCATGGAGAGGTCCTGAGCCTACTAAATAGAGTTCTATTGGGCCCAGTTTTCCAACTGCCTTGCCAAGACACCAAATGTGAGGAAAGTCATTATTTAGGTTCTCTGGACAAAGAATCAATAAAGTTTTCAGATACAGATAGCAAATCATTTAGGTTTTGCACATTTCCATCACAAGTCTTCACCTTGAATATTGTAACACGAAATCAACCATGGGCAATATATAAAGGAAATAGCATGGCTGTGTGCCAATAAAACTTTATTTATTAAAAGCAGGCAGTAAGACAGATTTGGCCAATGGCCATAATTTACCAGCTAACTACCACTGAGTAATTGATGCAAAGCAGAAAACAATTGGTCAGCTGAGCACTGATGAAATTTCTCACCACAAACGTGTAAGTGATAAGCTGAGCATTGATTTAAATCACTGCATTTTGAGGTATGTTGTTACAAAGCAGTAATCAAGCAAACTAGCACAGTAAAGGTGCTAAGTAGTTCTATAGCTAATCCAAGTAGTCTTCAAATTTCTCTGACCACATACAGGACCTTTTATATTTGTTTGTTTGTTTGTTTTATAGAATTACTGAGGTTTAAACTCGGGGCCTTATACTTGCTAGGTAGGCTTTCTACAACTTAAGGCACATTCCAAGTCCTTTTTGCTTCAAATATTTTGCCTAGGCCAGCCTGGACTATGATCCTCCTATTTATATCATCTGAGTAGCTAGGATGATAGGTTTGAACCACAGGACCTACCTCTTTTAAGAAACAATGAGATGTACAAGATACTTGTACAAGATACTTGAAAATGAACTTTACAACTTGGGGGGGGGGGGGGAGGAGGAGTTGGGGAGGTGAAGAAGGAAAGGATGGTAAGGGAAAAACAAAGGAGGAGGTAACAATGCTTGATAGAAAATGTACTCATTACCTTACTCATGTAACTGTAACCCCTTTGTACAGTATTTTTACAATAAAAAAATTGAAAAGAAAAGAAACAATGCTGCCGGGCATCGATGGCTCATGCCTGTAATCCTAGCTACTCAGGAGACTGAGATCTGACGATCGAAGTTCAAAGCCAGCCCGGGCAGGAAAGGCCGTGAGACTCTTATCTCAAGTTAACCACCAGAAAAGCAGAAGTGGCGCTGTGGCTCAAGTGGTAGAACACTAGCTTTGAGCTAAAGAGCTGAGGAACAGTGCCCAGGCCCAGAGTTCAAGCCCCATGACCAATAGAAAGAAAGAAAGAAAGAAAGAAAGAAAGAAAGAAAGAAAGAAAGAAAGAAAGAAAGAAAGAAAGAAAGAAAGAAAGAAAGAAAGAAAAAAGAAAAGAAAGCAAGCAAGCTTACATTAGTTGTAGATGCCCCTGGAAATGCTTAGCTTTAGCTCTCATCACTTCACCTCTTTACTTCACACAATAATGATATTGCAAATGACAATAAAAAGTAACTAAAGCAATAGTTGAATATGATGCACCATTTGTTGAAGGCATACTATGAGCCTGTGCTCCCTGCCTTCACAGGCTGCATACTACTGGCTCCATTACACACACAGGTGTTCTATGCAAAAAGGATTCCTTCCAGGATCTTCCTGTCCTCTGTCCTTCATCCCATAGTGCTGTTCAGTTGGTGACAGTCTCAGGTGAAGGTGTGTGTGTGTGTGTGTGTGTGTGCGCGCGCGCGCGCGCGCACGCGCGCATCGTTATTGATGACAAGTCACCAAAAGTTCCCCTAGTGAAAGAACTTCTCTCCTATAAAACTCAGAGCACTGCCTGGCATATAAATGATGCCCAGTAGACAGCAGATAGACACATGGATAGGTAGGTGTGGGGAAGGTGCTGGCTGAAGTTGCTTGGTGATACTGAAGTGCTATATGATGCTACTGCCAGGCCCAGATCTTGCTGGGAGGATGACATGGCTTTAGGGAAGCTGGTTGTGAGATGGCAGAGCTGCTGGCAGTGATCACAGGAAAATGGCTCCCCCTCTAAGGCCAGAGCTTCCTCATGGAGTAGGGGTCAATCCAGACCAGGAAGGATTTTCCCAGCAGCGTCTCATCCCAGCCCCTCCATGCCTTCCCCAGACCTACCTTTTTCAGGAGGCTGAGGGAACTTGGGCGCAGCTCAGGGATTGTACCCATTTCCAACTTCTTCAACCACACCCAGTCTCCCTATTTGAGAAAGAATAAGAGTTTAGGAAGTGGCGCTGTAGCTCAAGTGGTAGAGCACTTGCCTTGAGCTGAAGAGCTGAGGGACAGCGCTCAGGCCCAGAGTTCAAGCCCCACGACCGACCGAAAAAAAAAAAAAAAAAAGAATAAGAGTTTACCTACTGCTGATCCCCAGCCTTGGAGAAATTCTTCCCATTTCTATGGGACTCAGTTTCTGTGTTCCAAGCCTGTAGAGTCAGCTCAATGGCTGGTAGACCCAAGTTCAAATCCTAACTCTACCTTCTTCAACCCTATAACCTGGGGCAGTGACTTCTGATCTCTGAATCTCAAGATCCAAATCTGCACAGTGAGAAAGGCAACATTTTCCCTACATGCTGAGGGCTGATGGCGTAGTCTCTAAGAAGCATAGTTTCCCTAGTGTGAGGTCAGCTTACTCTTGCAGGCCCCAGGGCACTCCCAAGCCTGTGAGGTTGGTGGGGGTGTGGGCAGGCTCTTTGGCCCTAGGACTGTAGAAGGGGAGTAAGGGAAGGAGGCCCTGGGCTAACTACAGGTTCAGCCCTTTCCTTCCATCTCTCTGGTGGATTGGTGCCTAGGCCTCACCTGCAGCATATGGGCTACTGCACAAAAGCAAATAAAACATGCTCTGTGCATCATTAAAGCTGCTTTTCAGCAATGGGGGAAATTAAGAAATTCCTCTGGGACAGACAAGATGGGTGAGGGGAAGCATCAAGAGTCTCTTGTTGATTCTCATAGAAACAATTAGCTCAGTACATCACCCATGGAAGTCACAGAACATGAGACCCATAGCAACAGGGAAATCTTGAGCTAGAACTTGCCACTGATAGCATGTAAGAAAGCGCTTTGTTTTCCACAGACTTAAGGTTGTGCTAGTCTCACCTCCATCTTTGCAAGAGGCCAGCTTCTGTCTGGAGGCTGTCCAGGACTGGATGCTGCCCCTCCCACTGGGGCCTCAGGGACCAGAGATCTCTTAGGCTTGAGCAGGCAGAGGAAGATGAACCACGCAATACCCAGGCCTCAAGCAACAAGAATTGGTTGTTTCCCCAGGTCAAACTGTGAACCTCTCCCAATGAAGCTGGGAGCTCTGACTCCCATTATCCACCCTTCCTCAACTTGCATGGGGCCCAGGAAAGCCCCTGCTCCTAGGCAGGAGGCCGTTTTCTCCCTCTGAGACAGGAAAGTGACTACTGTTCCCCAAGCATAGTCTGAGGAGTAGGTGGCAGAGGCTCTCACCTGGTACAGGGCCACACTGGTAGGTTCTGGGGGCACTGGTGGACTCCTTGCTGACCCTTGGACCATCAATCTCAGGCTTTCGCCTTCTGCTGCACTTTGGGATTCACTTCCAGTGTCCACATGCAGCCTCTGTTGGAAGGGTGCGTCAGGTGTGGTCAAGAGCCTAGACCTGGCCTCTTCCATTGCCAGCCCATCCAGCCCTGCCTTGCCTACCCACCCTTCGGCTCAGGGGATGATGGAGAAAGGTGAGCTCCTGGGCTGTCAGCAGGATCTGCTGGGGGCCCTGAATCAACCACAACTGCTGGATACCCAATCTGCAGGTACAAAGACAATGGGAGAGGGTTGCAAAGTTCTCCTCTAGCCCAGCCCAGTCCCCAGAGCTGCCTGTAACTTACAGCCCTCTCCTACTTGCTTTCCTTCTCGTTGCTAATTCTCACAGTCTCAGATGGTCTCGGAAGGCACAGAGCACTGTGCCCATGGGTCCTTCAGCCTCAGCTTCAAGTCTGCAGCTTCCCTGGCCTGGAACACTTGATCATTAGCCTTGTTGTTTCCAAGGCCTCATGGGATAGCCACGAAGAATTGGGGAACATCTGGATTCAGAGCACAGAGGAATCCCTGTCCCAGGGAGAATTGTTCTGGAAGCTGCAGGCCCTGTGTGCATGGTCCTGGACAATTCCTCATTGTATAGGTGTAGGGTCTGACGCTCAAAGGATAGAGCCTCAGCCCGCATCTCCTGCTTCTCCCACAGACCTTCTCAGGAAGCAGCTGGGGCTTCAATGCACTCTGATCACCACCAAGATGGGTCTGTATACCCTGAGGTCCAGGAGGTAGATTTTGAGATAGTCCCTGCAGATTGCTGAGGAAGACCCTGTAGAGCAGAGGCCCAGAATGCCGGAGCAGGCTTCGCAGACAGTCTCACCTGATGAAGTAAGCGAGGACCCCGCCAACCAGCACCAGGACACAGACCAGAGCCACAGTGAAGAGGCTGCCCAGGGGCTGTGTACCTGTAGGAAGCAGGGACAATGGGGGTCAGGGCAGTCCGCAGCAGGGCTGAGCCACCAGCCTAAGCATGTCCCCAAAGCCCCTGTTCTCCTGTCCCCCAATCAATTAAATTCATTCTGAGTTTAGAGTCTGAGTTAGAATCCACATGGCCGTCATTGGACCACTGAGGGAATCAAATTGCCAGGCTGGACTCCTGCCCAGGATTACCCACCCCTGGGTAATCCTCCAAGAGTCTTGTTCAGTCCCCTTGCCTTTACCCTTCTGTCTTCTGCTATCCGTGAGTTCCATTAGAGGTGCAGGTGGTGAGCCTGAGATTTATCTGCCTGTGTCTCCTCAGTGCTTAGCATGAAGTTCGTAAAGTGTTTGCTGACTGGTCTGCTGAATGAATTGTGTAATGCTTGGGAGTGGGTGACATCTGTGAGACATGCCAAATGAAGGTAGAGTTGGTAAGGGTTCCCTCTGGGCTCTGTGATTCTTGCTATGAGTTTCTGATCACACTGTATGCTGTGGTCTCTAGCTGTCCTTTGCTGTGCCACAGACTGAAGACCTCAGAGGTGGGGTCTGAGTTGATCTTCAAGAATATAAGTTACAAGCACTAGTGGCTCACACCTGTAATCTAGCTACTCAGGAGGCTGAGACCTGGAGGATCACAGTTCCAAACCACCCAAGGGAGAAGAGTTCGATAGAATACATCTACTATCAACCTGCCAAAAGCTGGTCTGGAGGCACAACTCAAGTGGTTGAGAGTCAGCCATAAGCAAGGAAGTCCAGTGAGATTGTGAGACCTTGACCTCAAGCCCTAGTATCAGGACACACACACACACACACACACACACACACACACACACACACACACACACACACACACACACACACTAGCCCATAAGGATGGAGAGATACTATTCCATTCTCTTCTATACTCTGGTACTGAACAAGTACCTAGGCAGGAAAAAACAAAAACAAGTGGAGGTTTTGTGACCCTCCTACAGAGGCTTCTTTGAGCTCACTTCAAGTCTAGGAGGCAGATAGCTCTGGCCCTGCTCAGCACAGCACACACTCTAGAAACTCTGTGTGACCACCAAGGATGGAGCCCCAACTTAATCACAGAGCTGGTCCTGAAGGACAAAGCAAGGTTTGAGAGGGTGGAGGGAGGGGAAGAGCAGCCCAATGAGACAAAGTGCAAAGCCAAGGGCAAGGTGGCATGTGTTCAGAGAGATGCAAGAGTAGCCATGGCCTTGGAGATGCTGCGAGAGCAGGCTGAGAGGCCAGGGTAGAAGGTTCAGCAGGGCAGTGATACACACAAGCCTGGTCAAACCTGAGCTTCCCCCTAGTGGCAGAAGGGTGACTGGATGTACATTAGGAAAGGCAGGAGTAGGGGTACAGGGTGAGAGAGGGGTACGGGGGGAGGGGGAGACACCTGTTCATATACATCTGCGTGCACTTTCCTATCTATCTAGGTACCTGTACAGCAGTAGATGACACCTGGAGATGGATGAATTGCAGGAGTCAGAATGGTATCACACCATTCTGATCTCATACTCCCCAGTGGTCATAAGGAAAAACAAAAGCTTGTGCTTGGCCCCAGCAGACTTTAGCTCAGCAAGAGCTCCACCACTGGCTCCCTCTGTGACTTTGGGCAAGTCATTAATCCTTTCTGTGGTTCTCCTATGGTGGCCAGGTGGATAATGAGCTCATCAGTAAGCTATCATGTATTTTAGAAGGCCCGAAAGACAAGAATGTCTCTGTAAATGCTTGAGCCCTGCTCATCTGAAGCATCCTACCTGTTGGTTCTGTTTTCTCATAGTCAGGTCCCTTCTTTGTACCTGTTCCCAATACCCACATAAGACTGTCCATAAGCAGAACTGTAATGAGGTGGTAGATATAGACAGATGAATAGATAGATGGGTGGGTGAATGGTTGGATAGATGGTAAGTAGGGTTAAACAGTTGACAGTAGATGAGTAAAAGGATGGGTGGGTGAATGGATTGATGGTAAATGAATGAAAGGATGGATGGATGGATGGATGGATGGATGGATGGATGAACAGATGGGTGGCTGTGTGTAGATGAGGAGATAGAAGGGTAGATAAATGGATGGCAGGATAGCAAAGGGTGGATGGGATGAATGATAGGTTACCTCTCATGCACAGTGTCTTGCGATCGAACCAGCAGCTGGAATCCTGGGCTGGAGGGACTCCTCCTGGGAAGTGTATGGTTCTGCTCAGGGGCTGTACTTGCCAGGTGCCTGTGTCCAGAAGGTGGGTGGGGACCAGCTGGTTCCCTTGACCATCTGTGTCCAGGATTACATAGTGGGCTAGCCTCCTGCCCTTCTTATCTGTCCGGATCCTCTGGCCAAACCCAGCCACCTCAAGAGCTCCTATGTGATCCCCTAAGAAAGCTCCTGAGGGGCTCTCAGAGTGGTTCAAGACATGAGCCAGCAGGATAACAGCATCATAGATGGTTCCAAAGAGTGGGGACACCTACAGAAGAGAATTCCATAACTCATGGTACAGGATCCCAGACATCGCTGGGTCCCAGTCTCCATATCAATAGAAGTTGCTGAGATTATCATTCTCTCTCCTGACATACATTGCCCCAGGCTTCATTTAGCAGCTTCACCGTCTCTACAGCGATCACCACCATGACCACCACTAACGCTGAAACCTTCTAAAGCCCTTGTTCTAGCAAATTCTACCTCACTACTCTTCATTAGGAAGCATCCTAGTCACTCAGGGATTGGGTCAATGCTGCCTGGCCTATTCTGTTTCATGAGGCTGCATACCCCATCTGGCCTCTTGTTGTTACTTGATCCTCTTCTACTTTCTTGGCAGATAGTGGCACTGCCACTATTTGAACTTGGTTGTTTTGTTACTTGTTTTCTGTGTCTATCCAACAGAAAGAAGCTCCTTGAAGGTCACGTCTGACTTGTTTATCTCAGGGTCCTTGATCCCTGAACCAATGGCATGTGAGAAACTCAATCTACATTTTCTTAGATAAATGGCTGATGAACTTGTCAGCATCCATACTCCTGTCTCCACTTTTAGCCACTGCTGTCTTATTATCACTAAGAAGCAGACAACCCCAGAGATACTGGAGATACGGGAGTAAAGCTGAGTCCTAGAGTCTACACCAAGCTAGCAGCCACATCCTCCACAGTGAGTGCTCTTTGAAGTCACAACCAAAACCAGAAAAATCTCCCTTCCCATCCCACCCCAACACATTCCTAACACTTTCTTCTGACCTTCACAACTTGCTAGAGAGGTGCTAACTGAAAGTTAGCAACAGAAAGAGCAGTAGGACCAGCAATGAAGGAAGGAACTGGAATGCTGGGTAGATAAATGCGAATGAGGCACAAGAAAACTGGCCAGAAGGCGAAGAATATAACAGACAGACAAATGGGCAGACGGACAGATGGACAGACAGACAGACGGATGGATGGACAGACAGACCGAGTGAGTGACTGACCGACTACACTTAGGGGCTAGGCAGCAGACACTTGTACCCACTGTAGATTGATCACTAGCCAGGAAAGACCTGAAGCAGCTGAGACACACCTGCACGGGGCCCCACCCTCCGTGGCATCTGAGACTCTGACACACTTACCTGGCTAAGCTCCAGGTGGGCAGCTGCGTCTGCCCCTGCCTTGGTGGTGGCAAAGGCCTTGTCTTCAGGGCTGGACTCCAGGCTGATAGTGAGCACCGCATCATAAGCCTCCCGCAGGGGCTGGCTGTCACCCAGGGCGGGATAGGAACGGTTTCGGTAGGGCAGTGCAAAGTGCAGCGTGTCGTAAGGCAGGAAGGCCAGCCTCCCGTCCACCAAGCCCTGAGCCCATGCGTGGCTCAGCAGGGCTCTCTGCTCAGAGCCTCCCAGCAGCGCTGAATGCATGCAAAGCACCACAACTGGGGGTGGAAAAGGTGGGGTTACCTTTGCAGGCCCAACCCCATTGAGGTCAAATCTGAAGCCCAGAGTCCTGTGGCCCTGAAGAACTGTTCAGAACTCTGTGGCCATAACCACCCCACACCCCTGCCCCACCTCCTCCAGCCACTTGGATAATGGTAGAATTTATTCTGAATCTATTTGCTGTGACAGGCCACTGAATCCTGGCTTCAATCTAGTGACACCCTCTCCCCTCCAGCCAAGGATGGGCTTGGCCTACCTACCATTCCCCTCCCAACATGACCATCCAAAACTGTTGTCCAACTCCCACTTGCCTTAACCCATTGACCATGGCCATTGCTAATATTCAGTGTTACAACAGCACTAAGAAAAGTATTTGTAAGCCGGACACCAATGGCTCATGCCTAGAATCCTAGCTACTCAAGAGGCTAAGATCTGAGGATCTCAGTTTGAAGCCAACCCAGGCAGGAAAATCTGTGAGACTTTTTATCTCCAATAAACTACTCAGAAAAAAAGCCAGAAGTGGTGCTGTGGCTCAAGTGATAGAGTGTTAGCCTTGAGTAAAAAGAAGCTCAGGGACAGGGCCTATGCCTTGAGTTCAAGCCCCAAGACTGGCCAATAAAAAGGAAAAAAAGAAAGAAGGAAGGAAAGAAGGAAGGAAGAAAGGAAGGAAAGAAGGGAAAAAGAAAAAGAAAGAAATGTATTTGTCATGGTCTTTCCTTTTCAGAAAGAGAAACTGAGGCACTACGAGGTTAGGGAGTTGTCCCAGAAGATATATTCACTCAGGTGGTAGAGCCAAGGTTTGAACCCATGTTTGAATCTCAGATTACCATCCTTTAATAGTGTGTGTGTGTGAGTGTGTGTGTGTGTGAGTGTGTGCATGTGTGCTGGTACTGGACTTTGAACTCAGGGCCTGGTGCTATCCCTTAGCACTCTACTCCCTTAGCTACAACTCCGCTTTTTGGTGGTTTTAATTGGAGATGAGGGCCTCATGGACTCTCCTGCCCACTGGGCTAGTTCTAAACCATGAACCTCAGATCCCCAAATCTACTGTCTGTCTCTGTGGCTCTTCCTATTCTTCACATTTCACCTAAAGTTACTCATATACATGATCCCTTGTGTCTGGCCTCTTTTACTTGAAGTTTTCCAGGTCCTTCCTTCTTTGTTGAAATGTCAGTACTTCATTCCATTTACAGTTGCATATTATTCCACAGAATGATTGATAACATTTTGCTTATTCATTCATCATCACCTTGTAACCTTAACTGTGGCCCTGGCTGGCTGGCTGGCTCAAAGTCTAAGCAGATAGAAACAGCTTGTTATGGTTTGGAGAAGAAGTGTTTTCCACCCCCGCAAAAAAAATCACTGTGAATGATTAGACCACAAGGGTTCTGACTCCATCAATGGATTATTAGCCTACCAATGGAGGATTCCAACTTTGATGAAAGATGAGGAAGGTGGGGCCTGGTTGGAAGAAGGTCACTAGGGATGCTTTCCAAGGCTATCTTATCTTGTCTCTGGCCTCTCCTGCCCCTCTGCTATATGATGAAGTAAGTGACCTTTGTCACATGTTCAGCTGCCTATCTCAGACACCAAGCAATGGATCCTTCTGACTTTGGACTAAAAACTCTGAATCCCTCAGTCAAAATTAAATCTTCCTCCGTCAAGTTACTTTCCTCAGATACTTGTGACAAAAAATCTAACTAAGCCAGGTGCCAGTGGCTCATGCCTGGGTTCCAAACCATTCAAGAATCTGAGATCTGAAGATCCCAATTTGAATCCAACCAGGGCAGACAAAACTGAGAGACCTTTATCTCCAATTAACCAGCCTCCCACCACCCCCCCAAAAAAAAAAAACAACCGATAGTGAGAGTGGCTCAAATGGTAGTGTTCCAGCCTTGAGCAAAAAAGCAAAAGTATGAGGCCCTGCGTTCAAGTCTCTGTATTGGTGGGGGGTGGAAAGGTCTGACTAATGCATGGCCCTTCATAATAAGGCAGCCAATTTCCCCTCCCTCTAGGCACCAGGACAGTTGGACCTGGCTTAAGGCAAGGTCCACATCCAAGTCCCTTGGTACCATTTCTCTTCCCCACTCCTATACCTGACCACTTGATTGCATGGGGCCCCAAACCCAGGAAAACAGGGCACCATGACAGATCAGAGGACTCCTTGTTGGGACCTTGCTGGACCCATAGAGGTCAGAACCTGGAGTCCTAGATTCAGCTGAGCCCCTAGGTGGTGACTGTGATATGTAGGCCAGCGGCCACCAGCCACTTCTCCAGGCTTTGAATATTGAGGAGAACCCTCAGAGAGAAATCCATTAGGACAATGTTGAAAGAAAACCAAGATAGTGTCTTGTCTGCTCGGCCAGGCTTCTTTTCCTTAGCGATGTGAAGCCCTGTTCTGCATCTGACCACAAGGGGGCAGTGATCCACACAACTGGCCAGGCTCACCCAGCCTGGCCATCTGAATTTTGGGCTACCCACAGGAGAGAGGAGCTCAAATATACTTACTTTTCAGGCCATCCACACTTTGGAGCTGCTTTAAGACATCGGTGACCCCTTGCTCTCCAGGTCCCAGAGATGTCACAAGCTCCACAGGCAGCCCATGTGTCCTGAAAGTTGTGGCCAGCTGCCTGGCTGTGGCCACCCAGATGTCCTGCTGGGAAGATACAACAGCAGAGCGAGCCCAGCCAAAGTGTCTCATGACAGACAACAGCACATGGGCAGCAGAAGGCAAGGTGGGCACCAGTCCACCCCCTCCCTCTGGAGCCCCGCATGCCCAGGAGAAGAGGGTCTTGCCCCACCCTTGGGCCAGCAGGGCTGCTGCTTGGCAGTAACCAGGATTGACAGGGCCCACAAAAGCAGCCACAGCTTCTTTGTGGGCCAGGAAGGTGGCCAGGGCATGAGGGGTGTTACAGCCCGTGGGGAGGACCACAGAAGCCAGCCGCAAGCCAGGCAGCAGTGAGGGGTCCAGGTTGACTTGCTCCACAGCCAGCTGGGCAGCCATGCTGGGAAGGGCTTGGGCAAAGATGGGATCACAGTCCCAGGGACCCAGAACCCCCAGAGTGAAGGTCCTTGTACCCCAGGCTAGCCAGGGCAGGGAGCTGGTTCCCAGGAGGGCACCCCAAAACATTAGAGAGGGGAATGGTAGGGAAGAGGTTGTCCTCAGATGATGAGTAGACCCCCAGAGGCTCTGACAGGACTGGCCAGTCTTCGGCTGGGACACAATCCAGTTCCAACCTTCAGGGTACAAGCTCCCCCGCAGCCCTGGGAAAGAGGATTATGGACAAAGTTTGCTTATCATCTTGAAGGACTGTGAGGCAGATACCCCTTCACAAAAGCTCAGCTCCTCATTGGTAAAAGGAGGGACATCAACCCGTGATCTCCAAGGACTCACCATCTAGTTTGGGGGGGGGGGGGGGAGGGCTTCATATCCTCCCAAAGACTTTTGCTCAGAGACTTATAGCACTCATTCCAGTGGGCTTTGAAAACAGCACCCAACTCCCTGTTTCCCACCCATGGGACCCCAGGCCAACTGCTGATGCTTCCTGACCTTTTGTTCCTCTCTGTAAAACATGTGCAATAAAAACTTCTTGAGGAGCAGGGCTCTGATGGAGTACACCTATAATCCTAGCTGCTTAGGAAGCTGAGATCTGAGGATTGCAGTTCAGAGCCAGCCTAGGCAGCAAAGCCCATAAGACTCTTTTTTTTTTTTTTTTTTAGTCCGGTCGTGGGGCCTGAACTCTGGGTCTGGGCGCTGTCCCTCAGCTCTTCAGCTCAAGGCTAGCGCTCTACCACTTGAGCCACAGCTCCACTTCCGGCTTTTTTTCTTTTTGCTTATGTGATGCTGAGGAATCGAACCCAGGGCCTCATGCATGCAAGGCAAGCGCTCTACCACTGAGCCACCTTCCCAGCCCTCCATAAGACTCTTATCTCCAACTAACCACCAAAAAGCCAGAAGTAGAGCTATAGCTCAAGTGGTAGAACACTAGCCTTGAACAGAAAAAGCTCGGGGACAGAGCCCAGGCCCTGAGTTCAAGCCCCAGGACCAGCACCACACACACACACACACACACACACATGCACACCCTAATTGGTGACATAATTGTGACTATGAAACGACACCATGAGCCCTTGGCCCAGTCCCTAATACTTATGTATTTTTTGTTTGTTTGTTTTGGGTCCGGTCGTGGGGCCTGAACTCTGGGCTTGGGCGCTGTCCCTCAGCTCTTCAGCTCAAGGCTAGCGCTCTACCACTTGAGCCACAGCACTACTTCCAGCTTTTTTCTTTTTGCTTATGTGGTGCTGAGGAATCGAACCCAGGGCCTCTGGCATGCAAGGCAAGTGCTCTACCACTGAGCCACCTTCCCAGCCCCTGCTTATGTATTTAATAAGTTCTTTCTCTCAACCTGTGACTGTCCTGTCTTCCTCCATTTGCCTCTAAAGTGGATGGAGCTCCCCTAGTCCCATTGAGCCTCCTCTGCCTCCTCCCTCCAAGCTCAGCCCCATCCCACAGCCCTTGATTCCACTCCCCACAGGCCTGGCAGGTTAAACACATTTCAGACACAGTAGCTACCCACTAGGTGTACTTTGGTGAGCCATGACTAAAGGGTTCTCATTGCACATGCTCTCACTCACAGACATGCTCAGACAAAGGCCTTTCCACCCCTGCTCAAAGAGTACAAAACCTGATGGAGTTCGTACAAAGATGGGATTTGGGGAGAGGACTGTGATTCAAGGCCAGTGGAGCAAAAGGTAAGACCCTAGGTCAACAAATATGCTGAGAGTGGTGGATGACATTTGTAATTCCACGTACTTGGAAGATAAAGATCAGGAAGATTATAGCTCAACACCAGCCCAGCCAAAAAGTTAGTGAGCTCCCTTTCAATCAGTAATTAGGCATGGAGGCATGGGTATGGGTAGAAAGATGATGGTACAAGCTGGTGCTGGCAAAAACATGAGAACCTATATGAACAATAACTAAAGTGCAAAAGACTGGGAATGTGGCTTAAGTGGTAGAGCACCTGCCAAGAGAGCACGAAGCCCTGAGTTCAAATCCTGATATATATATATATGTGATTATATATAACATATATTAGGTTTATATTGGATTAATTTATATTATACACATTAAATGTTTATATATGTATACATACACATATATGATTTGACGGAAGTCCACCCAGCTCATCCTCCACCCTACACATGACCTCAGAGCACCTGGCTGTGATATTCCCACTTCATTCTCCTGTCCCAGGGTCTTGATGCCCACCCTGAGCCCCTGTGGCTTCTGCTTGCTCTCTGCCAACCTCCCAGTTATGCCCTACACCTATCTACAAGACTTGGCCACCTTTCTCCGCACCCATTTCCTGTGGGGGCCCTGGGAAAGAATAAGATCCAATCTCACCCTTAGGAAATCAGGGCTTCCTGGAAGAATTCATACTGACCCTGCACCTGGAGGTCTAGTTCAAGAGAGCGAGAGGATTTGCATGCCAGCAGCAGCAAGAGTCTGGAGAGAATAATTCCTTAGCAGTGGTGTTCAGTGCAAGAGAAAGACAGGCCTTGAAATCCCATAGGAGATCAAATCCTGATTTTCTCACTCACTATCCCTAACCTTAGACAATATACTGAGGTTCTCTGAGCTTCAGTTTCCCTACCTGCAAAATGGAGATGAGAATAGCTGTCTACAGGAGACAGGAAAACTGAAACTGTGCATGGTCTCTACCATGGGTCTGAGAAAGCAGGCACTGATTAAGGTGGATTAGCTCTCTTCCTCACCATCAGAGAGAGGACTCGGGGCACTGGGGTGCAAAGAGAGCTGGAAGCCTCACGTCTGTAATCCTAGCTACTCAGGAGGCAGGAGTCTGAGGATCATGACTCGAAGCCAGCCAGAGCAGGAAAGTCTGTGAGACTCTTATCTCCAATGAAACACCAAAAAGCCAGAAGTGGAACTGTGGCTCAAGTGATAGATTCTAGCTTTGAGCAAAAGAAGCTCAAGGACAGCACCCAGGCCCCAAGTTCATGTCCCAGGACCAGCACAAGAGGGTCTCAGCATGTCCCTATCGATGACAGTTGCCTATGAGCAGGATTGGCCAGCCCTGTGCCGTGCTGGCCCTCCATGTCCTGGAAAGGGTGCTTCCCTCTGAGCCCTTCCCATTCTTCTGCTGCTACACCTAAAGTGGTCTCATAGCAGCTGGGTGAGGTCCATCCTGCCTTGGAGATGTGTCCCTCAGAGAGAGCCGTGGGCTCAGAGCTGATTGTTTCCGGATGGGGAGGTAAGCACTGGAGCTGCTAATGACAATGACCACCGCCTCTCCTTCTAGACTTTCCAGAGCCTTTGTGACCACTGCTTCACCACCCTGCCAGAGGTCTGAATGAGAGAATCTCATTTTCCAAAGGAGGAAATGTGGCCAAGGTCTCACCTAAGTTAGACCTGAATCAGAACCACATCATACAAATACAAAACCCCTCATGTTTGGAGAGCTAAAACAATAAAGCTGAAATGTTTTAAGACTTAAACATCTAGACTGTGTTCAGCTGAAGAAACAGAGGCACAGGAAGGAAGATGGGCTTCCCTGAGTCCCAAAAAAAACAGCAGTCCGATCCCCTAGCCTGAGGTCCTGGTACCATATTGGGGCCTGAAGAATTCTATAGTCAATGGCCGGCAGGGGCTCACAGAGGGCTCAGCAGTTCAGCTCTAGGACCCAGCAGAAGCTGACCTTCACCCCATCCCTGTCTCTGATTTGGCACAGAAACCATGTCCTTTCTGTGTCTCTGTTTTCCCTGCTACATGGGAAGGGTTTGGTGTGGATGCTTAAGCTCTAGTGTTCTGTGTGTTGTTTAAAATCAAGAGACAGGGAGTTTTCGTCTCTGAAGATAGCCATGAACCCTCTCCTAATCCTTCCCCCTGTCATGTGACAGCTTCTAAGACCTCCACCTCAGCCACACTGGTTAATATGCTAGACCCAAAAGACTAGACCAGAGGTCAGCCATGGATGACTTGCTTCTTGACCCTACCCTGGTCCTTCTTGCCTGCCTCAGGACAGCCTCTGTGCAGACTCACCCATCAGATCCGACTCGCTGCCTCTTTGCTGATCCTAAGCTTCCTGCACCAGTGTTCTGAGAAGTCAAGCCGGCTTTGATCTGGGGGTTCTCATTGCCAACAAAGCAAAAGTCACAGAAGACCCCTCCACTGCCTGTCAGCTTGCTGACACTCCTGCCTGGAGAGGGCCTTCTATATGCCTCATTCCCTCCCTATTTCCCCAGGAGCCTGAAGAAGCCACGTGGAAAATTAGATCTGTTCAGACCCCAAGGCTCCAGGGAGTCCATGCAGAAAGGTAGAGAGAAAGGAGAGGAGAGGATATTGTGGAGGCAGACAGAAAGGAGGTAATGGAGGGAGGAAGGGACAGGGGAGAAGACAAGACAGTGGGGGAGAGGAAATGAGAGAGGGAGGAAGAGGAGAGGAGAGGAGGGAGAAAGGGAGAGGAGGGGTGTTTTCAGCACTTCGGACAGCTCCATGGTAGGCTGTGGTTCCCTGGAGGCAGGAAGAATGGACCAACCAGACAAAACCTTGCAATCTTGTGCAAGCACTATCCATTCACCCCTTGAGAAAGGTATTATTATTCTCAATCCTAGATTAAAAAAAAAAAGTACCGCTCAGAGAGGTTAGGTATTTTTTTTGGGGGGGCGGGGGGTGTCTGGTCATGGAGCCTGAATTCTGGGCCTGGACACTGTCCCTCAGCTCTTCAGCTCAAGGCTTGAGCCACAGCGCCACTTCCAGCTTTTTTCTTTTTGCTTATGTGGTGCTGAGGAATCAAACCCAGGGCCTCAGGCATGCAAGGCAAGCACTCTACCACTGAGCCACCTTCCCAGCCCCGAGGTTAGATAATTTGACACAGCACAGAGCATGTAAGTGGCAGGACTGGCAGCAGGCCTGGCATTCTGCTCATCCTGTCACACTGACTCTTGGAGGATTAAAGAGGAGCTTTTCTCCTTCTGGGATGGATGTCCATGTGGAGATAGAGACTTTGGCCTAGCAGACTTCCAGACTTCATCTCCCTCTTCACCTGCTCTTTCTTATCTGGAAAAGTGAAAGTGTTCTAAAGGTACTGACTGTCTCTGTATGTGCTGATGTTGTACATGTCCCCTCTTTCTTAATCTGTACAATGACTTTGTCAAGTAGATATCGTGTTTTGTTTACTTGTGTTACATTGTTCATTCAACTGATACTGAGAACCCACTTCCTGCTTGAATACAGAGGAAGCCAG